GCCCCGCAGCTAGAGTTTTCCAAACAGGAGAGCTACAATAAAATACCATTGAAAATTGTCGTCTTTAATCTCCTTTCCCTGTATCTTACCCTTAAAAGAATGTTGCTTCGGTGCCCAATACTTTGGGTCCTCTTGGATTTGTACAAAAGGTCCTATATCTCAGGTTGAGTTTTTATGATCTTTGACAGGTACCCAGAAGAGGTGAAGGCAAGTTGTCATGTTGAACCCATTCAGGAGAACTCCTGTTTCAACTCCTGTTTCAGGAATACCATCTTGACCCGGAGACAGAGATAGATATAACCAAACCATCTCCACCATCAACTAGTCTCGGTGCCTGAGGTTCCCGCCTTCCTTGCATTTTTTTTTTTAATTAACCGTAAAACCAGAAATTGGTGAAGGAAGAAGAGTACTGAGTTTGAAACCATGAGACCATCTTACTCGCTGTGTACCATGGAAAGGTGCCTTCCTTTCCATTAGCCTAGAGAAAGAGCTGGATTTCATGAAACTGAGGTGCTCCTGCTTTCTGTCCTGGGGAGCGGAGACATTGGATTTTATTAGGAGGTCATTCACAGCTTAGCACTGATTACCTTGGTCATTACGGAAACACCTTGGGAAGCAGAGTGCAGGTCAGTGACAGAGTAGCCACCCCCACAGGCAGTTTTGATGCTAAGTTGGCTGAGAGCTGAGGTGATGCTGGGAGTACATGTCCTAACCACCATGATGCCTCCGTGGGAAGCACTCAGTATTGGTGGACATAGTGTGGACACCTTTGGGAGCAAAGAGAAAAGTAAAAATGGAAGGTGAGACCAGCAAAGAATGAAACTTCTTGGTTTGGTCTTTTGGCAGGAATGACCTCTGGAGACTGGGAACAAGAAATGTTCAGGCTGCGTGGCTCAGTGCGGAGAAGAACTTAGTGCATGAGAGTTACCCTGCCCGACAGCCAACCCCAGAAAGTTCCTTCAACCCACTGGGCCTTCACATCATCTCTGGAATTGGGGACTAATAATCCTCCTAAAGCTATTATGAGAATCAGACAAGTTCCTGTATGTGTAAAACTTAGCTCAGTGAGTGTTTGCCAGGATCGACCCTTTACCCACCAGGCTCCTGTTTTAGAGTTTGCAGGGAGAAGGAAGGGCAGGATGAGAAAGTCTAGTTCTTCTGTCCTAGGGCTACAGTACCCTTAGCACTTCCCAAACCCTCCTGAAGAGCCTGTCATCTCCCATCCTGCCAGACCAGGGACAGTGCCGAAGACAATGGCCTTGGGCAACATAAAAAAGATTTAGAGACCAGCTGGTGATTTGGGCTGCTGTCTCCTACAGGGGAATTTTATCCTTAGGGACTCTGAACTTCCAAGGAAGAAATTATAGCATCTGCTCTTAGCCCAGCACCAAGTTCCTAACACTCCTTAGCGTTTCCAGATGTGTGTGTACACAGATGCACCTGCACACACAGGTGTATATGGATATGCTCATACGTTCACAGAGAGAAGGACCTGGAGGTGCATTTGCAGGTCTTTAAATATACCTACATATACACATGCACAGATGTGTGCAAACACAGAGAGAAATGTACCTAAAGACGGATGTACACACACCCACAAAGAGATGAATATGCATACCCACAGTGTACACTAGGAAAGTGTCACTTGGCACAGTTATCCTGTGACAAACTGTACATCCATGAACTAGAGCGCATGTTTCTCCTTCAAGAAGCAAAGAAGCTAGGAAGCCATTTATTCCCCCAGACTTAGTTCTCACTCAAAGTCAACACTCACCAGACCCAGCTCTGTGGCTGTGCTAATGGCTTAGGGAGAAGAGAGAAGCAGCATCCCGATACTGTTGCTGGGAAGGTTCAGCTGTCAGAGAATGGCAGCCCCAGGATCCCCTGGATCCAGAAGCTCCTGTCCACAGAGGGCTAGGCAAGAGCTCTTTGTCCAAAATCTCACTTTCATACCAGCTATGAAAAGGAATTTCTGAGGAGCTCCTGACTGACCAAGGACAGAAGCAGGTAAGAGCATGGTAAACTTCATCCCAGTTGAATTTACCAGAGGAAGATGATGGAATCCAGATGGGCTGCAGCCAGAGCTCACCAGGAACGGGGACAAGGAGGAGACAGCTAAGGAGGGGCACCCTGACCCCATGCACTCCCCAGTGTGGCTTCTGATTTTTCTATAAGAAAGCTCTGCCTGGAGAATTTCTGCCACATACTTCCCTGATGACTTGTTGGTTCTGAAATATCCATGGCCTCTTATTCCCGTATGACTCCCTTCTGCCCCTCATGGGACCAGCGTCCTCACATAGCACGCCTTGCCAACTATCTCAAGATGACAACTTTTGCCAGCTCAGTGCAGACCCCAGAACTACCAGCAAAAGAAAGGAAGGCTCTCAGCAATGAAGAAGACCACCAGGATCACTGGATCCACTGAAGATTCAGCTGAAATCCCTATGAATGCTGTTGGAACACTCCAAAGAGATTCAAAGCCAACTTGCAAAAGGAACTCTGTGCACCTTGATTCACTAAGGTGACTAGGAGAGCATGTCAGCGCTCAGAAACTCTCTTAAGTTGTCTGCCACATTTTGTCTGCCATCATAAAAATATAATTCATAGGAAGCGTGCATTCAGGTGTACCTGGAAAAAGTAGTATATCTAATATTAAGATGTTACCAAAATGAGAGCTTATGGGAACAGCAAACTTGGAAATGTTGGGTACTTTGGGAATCTCTCATTCAAGTAGGCGCCCAAGAATGAGACAGATTACATTCCCCTCTTGCCCAACTCCACACAAAGAGGAGAAGGTAAACAATCCACCCATTATAAGGAGCTTGTGGCAGGAATCATGCATTCTAAAAGGGTCAGCGATATCCTGACCAGCTCTGGAAGTTTATGAATCTATGAAATATTGGAAAAGACACCAGACTTTGGAATAGGATTTCATTCAGGAATTTGTAGTAGAGAATTGGTATTTGAGACACGAATCATAGTGTCTAATCCAGAAGGACATTTCTGTTTGGAGAAGCTATAGGACCAGATGACCAGTGGGCCCTCTGAGTCTTCCCCGTGTGCTCTGAGGTCCTCACACCCAGCTCCTACTTCTTCTTCTGATTCCCACTCCTATGCACATGTGCCGCAGTGTGGAAAGACCATCTGAGAACACACCTACTGCTCCCCACTCCCATGGCTCTGCCTGCTACATATCCTTCAAGCCTTCGTGTAAGAGGCTTCCCCTCTTGAGTAGCCATTCCTGGCTGTTAAGTGTCCTCCTCTGAACTCCTTGAATACAATGTGGGAATTTTTGCTCTCTTCTTAATGTCTCCACCAGATTACCTGAGTTTTTTAGGAAGAAAGCATTATCTTATTTGTCTTTCTATCCTTAACAGCAGCATAGAGCCAGGTACGTAGTCATTGCTTAGTCAATGTTAGGTGCGTGCAGTGTGAACTGGGACAGTTCTTATGGGGGAGAGTATAGGTTTGGAACTGGACCTACCATATTTCACCTCCTGATGCTACCACTCATTAACGGTTGGACTTTGATAAATTCCCTTGTCCCTCCTGTACCTTAGCTTCTGGTCTATAAAAGTGGGATAATATTACGACTGTTATAAAAAGGAAGTAAGCTAGTAAGTGTGAAATGTTTAAATAGCGGCTAATTTATAGTCAGCATTCAATGTGTGTTAACCATTACGATGACATCAAATGAGTCCAAATCCATTCTCATCTGAAAACTGTCAGTGATTCTGAAGGTTTCTCTATTAAATCCATAACACCGGAGAAGAAACAAGAAATGACGCTCCTTGCCCTTTGAGTCTTGTAACAATCCCTCCTTGGGGGCCCAAACACCCCCTATTTAAAGCTGAGTGGACTTTATTTACAAGGGCCTAGTTAATCAAGTCCATCTGTAATGTAAATGTGCTTCTCATTATGCTAATGCAAGCACTAGACATGCAAATCCATAAGCATTTGCATGCCTAATGCAACAGTTCTTGTCCATCCTGTTCTGTGGCTATTTACTATCTAGTTTTTATGACTTATGGATTTCCAACCCTTTAAATTTATATCAGCGCCGTGACATATCTGCAAGCAGCGACAGTTTTATGAGCACTAAAAAAGCTGCAACACACCACCACTAAATACTAATGACATAAATGGTAGCTGTAATGGCCCCTATTTTTATTACAATACCAAACCTCAATATATTGCAATTACCTCTGCACTCAAACCAGACCAAGCCACACTGTACAGGAGCCATCCCAGCGGGGGAGAAGGGATCAGCAGCGGGAGTTTCCGGTTGGAGCCAGCCTGTAGCACTAAGGAGCTGAGATCAGCAATTGCAGCAGGAATTTCCTCTGAGCATCCACTGGGTCTGCAAATCAGAAGCCTCCCTTCCGCACAGATGTGCCCGAATGCTGAAGTGAGTCTCCTGTGTCAGGTATAGCTTAGAGAAGGTTACAGCTCTCCACTCTCTACCTCCCATCTACCCAGCCCCAAACCAAGCCCCTAACCTACTGTCTCACCCTGAGCAAGTCTCTTCCCTCTCTGGGCCTTAGACCACCCATCAGGAGATGTAGAAATGCCTATCTCTAAGGAGGCTCCCAACTCTTGACATTCCAGGATTGAGTCGATGGGAAATTTCAAGCCTAGGACGGAGTCATTAATTTCCTCCAGAACAAAAATATATCCACGGGGACATTTTTATGCCTGGTTTTATAAATTCTGATTTCGTACCTTAAAATAATAACACCTTGAGTTTATTTTATGACCTTTTCCATCTAAAACACTTTTCTATTTGTTACCAGCTTTCATTCTCAGGGTCCCTGGAGGGGCATCCTTTCTATTGTGCAGGAAGGAGGAATCAGGCGAAAGGTTGCATAAGGGCCCACTTCAGCATTAAAGCCCAGGTCCTTATTGGTGGCCTTCTATGAAGCTGCCTCTACTTCTCTGGACACCATCCCTTCCTTCCAGGATTTGAATGACTTAGGTTACAAGAGAAAAAACAACAGAACTGAACCAGCTCTTCCCCAAGGCCTCAAATGCCCTCTTTGGAGTGTTATTTATTTGGCTCCTGTACTATACCCCTGGGAGAGGCACAGGGACCCATCTCAGTGTGGACTAGTTCCTGGATCACTTTTCCCGGGGATGGATAGTGAAGGGCAAGCTTGGATAGGAGGTTGTAGACTGCATCAGTTAATCCAAGGGGGGATTTGCAAGGTGGCAGGGGGGCCTGAGTGGGGAATATTAGCTGGTCAGAGGACAACAGAAGTAGAACAGACTTGAGAGGCGGAAGCAGAGGCCAGTGAGAACAAACTGCTCAGAGTCCAGTCCTGTGTCCATCGACCCTCCAGACTGTGGGCTCTTCTCAGGATGCATGGGGCCCCCTTGATGTGCCCAGCAGCTGGTGCAAGCAGGGCCTACTGAATGTCCATGAAGCAGCCTTGCAACCTGAGACTTCTAATCATCATCCTGAGGTAGGATGGAGAGAAAAAAAAAAAATAGGTAGAAAGAAGACATAAAGACAAAGAAATAAAAAAAAAAAAATCAGTACTGGGTGCTTTACCACCGAGCTATATCCCCAGGCCTTTTTATTTTTTATTTGGAGACAGGGTCTTGTTAAGTTGCCCAGGCTGACCTGGAATGTACCATCTTCCTGCTCAGCTTCCCAATTCGCTAGAATTACAGGCATGGGTCATCGTGCCCAGCTAAGGAAATAAATTTTTAATTCAAAAGTTCGGCACAGTTTTCCAGGCCTGTCCCTCCCCACGGCAGTCTCTCTTTCCCAGATCTGTTCCTCCTAAATTCCTGGGAAATCTGGAAATACACCTGTGCACTGTTAATTAACTCCCCAATAAATAGATTCAGCAAAGAGAGCTGTGACATTTTCAGAAACCTGTGATTTAGGAGACTTTCCGATGCTGTCTACTGATGGCATAATGAAGACTATGTCGGCCCAAGGACCCGAGAGGCCCCAGGCCTTCATAAATCATCTTAATACCATTCTTACCTACCTTCCCATATCTCTTTCACCAATTTTCATTTGAAGGAAGATCTGAGACCCTCCAAAATGCTTCTCTCGCTCTCAAGATGGCCTGCATTTTCCCTTGAATGTATATCTGCTTTCCTAAAATAGACCTCTGGATGTGACTCTGACCAGCCTTTGCTGAAATTCTGTTCCACAAGCCAAGGACCCTGCTGATCCTGAGCCAAGGTCCTCCTTCTCTCCAGGACCACCTCAGACCCTTCTACAGAGCTGCTTCTTGCCCTAACCCACCCCCGCACCAACCTCAGCCACCATGATAATTCCATAGAGGCAACTAAAATACATCCACAAAAGCAGTATGGAGATTCCTCAGAAAACTTGGAATGGAACCACCTTTTGACCCAGTCATCCCACTCCTCGGCATACACCCCCAAAGACTTAAAATCAGAACACTATAATGACATGGCCACATCAATGTTCACAGAAGCTCAATTCATAATAGTTAACCTTTGAAACCAACCGAGGTACCCTTCAACAGATGAATGAATGAAGAAAATGTGTAGACACAATGGAATATTATTCAGCCATAAGAAGAATGAAATTATGACATTTGCTGATAGATGGATGGACCTGGAGACTATCATGCTAAGTGAAATAAGCCAAACCCAAAAAAACCAAAGGCTTAATGTTTTCTCTGATATGTGGATGCTGACTCACAATAGGCAGATAGGCAAGGGGTAGGGGAGTGAAGGTTCATAGAACTGGACAGGGGGATGTGGGCAGCTGGGGGAAATGAGAATGGAAAAGACAATAGAATGAGTCAGACATAACTTTTCTGGGTTCATAGAGGAATACACAACCAGCGTAACTCCACAGCATGTACAACCACAAGAACGGGAAATTAAACCCCATGTATGTATGATATGTCAAAATACACTGCGCTGTCATGTATAACGAAAAAGAACAAGTAAAAACCAATAAAATAAAATCCATCCACAATTCAGGGGAATTACCAGGACTGGCTGAAAGATGGTGCTATGGACTGAATTGTTTCCCCACTTCCCAAATTCATGTTGAAGTCCTAAGTCCCAAGGTGTATTTGAAGATAATTAATATTAATGAGGGAGGTCATGGACAGTAAATGAGGTCATAAGGATAGAAGCTATAGACCAATAGACAGATGTCCCTATGAAGACACACCCAGCATGTACATGCTCATAGGAAAGGACACATGGACACAGTAAGAAGTTGACCATCTACAAGCCAAGGAGAGAAGCCTCAGAAGAAATCAAATCTGCAGGCCCTGTGTGGTGGCGTGTGCCTGAAATCCCAGCAGCTCGGGAGACTGAGGCAGGAGGATCCAGGTTCAAAGCCAGACTCAGCAACATAGTGGGACTTTGTCTCAAGATAAAAAATAAGGCAGAGAGCGGGTATGGGGTGAGAAAAGATGATTGAATGAGATGGACATCATTACCCTAGGTACATGTATGACTGCACATACGGTGTGACACTACATCATGTACGACCATAGAAATCTAAAGTTGTGCTGCAGTTGTGTACAATGAATTAAAGTGCATTCTGTTGTCATTTAAACCTAATGGAAATAGGTTTTTTAAGAAAGATAAAAAAATAATTAAATAAAAAGGGCTGGGGATGTGGTTCAATGGTAAAAAGCCCCTGGATTCAATCCCTGGTACAAAAAAGAAGAAAGAAAGAGAGAGAGAGAGAGAGAGAGAGAGAGAGAGAGAGAGAGAGAGAGAAACCAAATCCATAGACACCTTGACATTGACCTTTAGCCTCCAGAACTGTGAGAAATAAATTCCTGATGTTGAAGCCACCCAGTCTGTTGTATTCTGTTACGGCGGCCCAAGTTGACTAAGGCAGAGAGACTTAAGGCCACGTCCTGCTGTGGGTGGGGGAAGCCAATGAATCCGCAGCCCAGAACGCCGTTGGGTAAGAATGGCAACAGTTGCCAAGCAGCAAAACCACTTTAGAGGGGTGCAGGTGTCGGGATTATGTCTGAGAGGTACTCAAATGTTCCTGAGCTCCGTACTGCAAGGACAGGTCAGATATTTCTGGAGGAATTTCCCGGTGATGGCAGTGGGAGATCTAGTATGCATTTGTCCACAGCAGAGAGAAAAAACAGCAGGTCAGTGAACCATTTTCCTTGGACCAAATTCCTAGTTCTGTCACCATCCATCTATTGTGCCCTTGTGCCCGGTTCCTTCTCGTAGGTCCCTTTCCATCTCACAAACAAGTCACTGGGCTCAATCCGTCTTCTCCAAAGTCCATCACTAAAGAACTTGGGTACAGAATGGTTGCCATACCCATGTGCTGATTGTACTGTTAGTAATTGGATTCACTTCCCAGCCTGCTCTAGCAAATTACCACGGACTGGATGGCTTAAATAAAGTAACAATAACAACAACAACTTGTTTTCTCACAACTCTGGAGTCCAGGCAACTGAAATCAAGGTGTCCGCAGGACTGCACTCCTTCTGAAGGCTGTATGGGAAGATCCTTCTCTGCCTCCTCCAATTTCTGGTGGCTCCCGCTGTTCCTTAACTGATGGCAGCAACACGTGGCTCTCTGCCTCCAGCGCCACCTGGCTTTCTCCCTCATGTCTCCTTATATTTTAAGGACACCCGTCACCTTGGATGAAGAGCCAAACCTACTGTATATGATATCCACTGTGCATAATTCAGAGGGTAGGATTTCCTGTCATTGTTCATGTGATTCCAATGTCCAGAGAAGAGACGATATTCAAAACACCTCAATCAGTAACTGGCACAAAATATTCCCCCACTAGGTATCTCCGTGCCCTTTCTTTTTCTTATAAGAACAGCAGTCACTGGATTAGAGCCCGCCCTAAATCCAATGTGCTATCATCCCAAAATATTTGGGACATCTTGACAAGTGACAAGTGAATAAATGACAAGTGTGAAGTCCCCGTTTCCAAATAAGTTCACGTCATGGGTCCTGAATATTAGGACTCTGACAGATCTTTTTGGAAGACTCGATTCCACCCACTACATTTACTGAGGATTTTTGTTAAATTGACCTTAAATCAATTCACTTTGTTTGCTTGCCTAATAATATCCATAAAGTTATAGGTTTGATGAGTTCACTCTATTTTCCTTTAAATGTTTTTTTAAATGTATTTCAAGCATGTAGAAAAAAATTCAAAGTCACATAATGAACACTTGTGTATCTTACCCTTGACTTTAACAACTATTAGTAGTTTCTAGATTTATTTTAAATCCTTTGTTCTTTCAAGATATAAAAAATCACAGGAATATGTTAGGTGTGTTTTGTATGCTTTCACATCTCATTCTTCTACCCAGAGGCAACTCCTACTTAAAACTAGTATGCATTATTTCCATTCATGTTTTTATGCTTTTATGACATAAATTTGTCATCTCTGTCGCATGCAATTTCAGATTACATAATTTAATCATACATAAATGCTATCATTGTATTATCTTTATTTTTAAGTTCTACTATTTTTCTTCTGCTTTCTCTAGGCTTAAATTGCTTTTTTTTTTTTAAACTTTGTTTCCCAAGGTAGAAGGATAGATTTCTTGATTTTAGATCTTTCTTCTTTTCTAACATATGTATTTCATATTATAAATTTCTCTCTAATTATTGTTTTTGCCATATGCCACACACATTTTGTTAAGTCTTATTTTAATTTTCTTTTAGTTTAAAATGTCTCTGGCTACTACTTCTCTGATCCATGTGTTATTTAGAAATGCTCTTGTTTAATTTCCAAATATTTGGGGACTTTTTTTTGCCTCTACTGTTATTGATTTCTATTTTAATTTCATGATGGTCTGAGAACATATTTTCTCCATCTTTGTTTTCAACTCATTTACCTTTAAAGTGATTCATTTCCGTCACCTTTACTGAGGTATAATTAACAATAAAAAATGTATATATTTAAGGTGATGTTCTGATATGTATACACATTGTGAAATAATTACCACATCCAAGGTAATTAACATCTAATACCTCATACAATTACTATTTGTCTGTGCGTGTGCGTGTGTGCGCCTACGCTTGCAATGAGACACCCTGTACATGCCCTTTAGCCCCATTTCTCCCACAGCCTGGCCCCTAGCGATCACCATTGTATCCTCTGCTCTATGAGTTCAACAATTTTAGATTCCACAAATAAGTGAGATCAACCAGGATTTGTCTTTTTTGTGCCTGGCTTATTTCACTTAGTATAATGTCCTTCAGGTACAAACATCATTGCCACAAATTACAGAATTAACCTCCTTTTTAAAGACTGGGCAGCATTTTTTTGTGTATAAACGTCATATTTTATTCATCTTCCAATGGATACTTGGTTGTTTTTCATATCTTGGCTATTATGAAAAACACTACAATGAAAGTGAAATTTGAGGAGGTCTCTTTGCTTTATGGATTTAATTTCCTTTGCATATATGCCCAGAAGTGAGATTACTGGGTTACATGGTAGGTTTTGTTTTGTTTTTAATAAATGGACACAATAACTTTATTTTGTGATTATTTTTTATGCAATGCTGAGGATCAAACCCAGTGCCTCACAAGTGCTAGGCAAGCATGCTACCACTGAGCCACAACCCCAGGCCCATGGTAGTTTTATTTTTACAATTTTGAGGAAAATCTATACCATATTTCACAGTGGTTGTACCAATTTACATTATCCATTTTCTCTGCATCCTCTCCAGCACCTGTTATCTTTCATATTTTTAATAAAATCCATTATTTTTTTTTCTCCTTTGGGTACCAGGGATTGAACTAAGAAGCACTCAGCCACTGAGCCCCATCCCCAGCCCTATTCTGTATTTTATTTAGAGATAGGATCTCACTGAGTTGCTTAGCACCTTGCTTTTGCTGAGGCTGGCTATGAACTTGCGATCCTCCTGCCTCAGCCTCCCAAGTTGCTGGGATTACAGGTGTGTGCCCCTAATAAAATCCATTCTAACAGACGTGAGATGTGATTTTATCTGCATTTCTCTAATGATTGGTAATGCAGAATTCTTTCATGTACCTCTTGGACATCTGTGTGTCTTCTTGGACATTTGTATGTCATCTGAGAGATGTCTGTTCAAGTGCTTTGCCCATTTTTAAATCTAATTGACTTGCATTGAATTATGTTTTGGATATTAATTGTTCATCAGATGTACAATTTGAATATACTTTCAAATGCAGTCTGAGGGTTGTCTTTTCGCTTTTAATTGTTTCCTTTGCTGTGCAGAAGTTTTCTAGTTTGATGCCATCCATGGGTCTCTTTTCCTTTTTGTTGCATGTGCTCTCAAGGTCATCTTAAAAATCATGGAATAAAGCAATAATGTAGAGCTTCCTTCCAATGTTTTCTTCTAGTAATTTCTCAATGTCAGGTTTTATATGTAACTATTGTTAGTTGATTTATTTTTGTAATGGCAAGATTTGCATTCAATTTCATTCTTTTGCATGTGGATATCCAGTTTTCCAAGCATCATTTATTAAAAAGATTGCCCTTTGGCCCATTGCAATTTCTTGGCTCAAAAATAAGTTGACTTTAAAAGCAGGGGGTTATTTCTGGGCACCCTATTCTGTTACTGCTTTGTTATTTTTAACTAAAGATTTTTTTAGATACTTGGGGTCTTTTGTGGTTCAGTATGAATTTTAGGACTATTTTTACTATTTCTGAGAAAATGTCACTTGAATTTTTTAAAGATTTTTTGGCACATAATATTGCATATAATTATGGGAAATAAGTGGAATTTTGAATCTGCATATTGCTTTTGGTTGTACGGATATTTTAACAATGTTAATTCTTATTTTTTTCTTTGTCCCAAGGATTAAATTCAGGGGCACTTAAACACTGAAGCACCTCCCCAGCCCTTTTTGTATTTTATTTATAGACAGGGTCTCACTGAGTTTCTTAGGGCCTCACTAAGTTACTGAGGCTGGCTTAGAACTCATGATCCTCCTGCCTCAGCCTCCCAAACCACTGGGATTATAGGCCTACACTACTGCACCTGACTAACAATGTTAATTCTTCTAATCCATGAACATGGGATGTTTGCTTGTTTGTATCTTCTTATTTGTATCTGCTTGTATCTGTTTGTATCTTCAGTTTCTTTCTTGTTTGTATCTGTTTGTATCTGCTTGTTTGTATCTTCAGTTTCTTTCATCAACGTCTTACAGTTTTTACTTCTTTCGCCTCTTGAATTAAATTTATCCCAAAGTATTTTATTATTTTTGATGCTATGAGAAATAAGATTTATTTATTTCTCAAACAATTTACCGTAGGTGGAGAAACACAACTGAGTTTTGTATATTGATTTTGTACCCTGAAATTTTCACTGAATTCATTTATTATGGTTTTGAGTGATCTTTAGGGTTATCTGTATAAAAGATCACATCTTCTACAAGCACAGACAATTTTCCTTCTTCCTTCCCACTTAGGTGCCTCTTACTTCTTTTGCACGCTTAATTTCTCTGATTAGCATTTCCGTTACCAAGCTGGTTAGAAGCAATGAGAGTAGGCACCCTTGTCTTGTTCCTAACCTTAGAGGACACGTTTGGGTTTTACTGTTGACTATGATATTAGTTGTGGACTTTTCATATGTGGTCTTTATTTTGTTGAGATACACTTCTTCTTTTCTAATTTGTTGAGAGATTTAATCATGCAAATATGTCGAATTTTGCCTAATGCTTTTCCAGTGCATGTTATCATATGATTTTTAGCCTTCTTTCTGTTAATGTGGTGTAGCATGCTTATTAATTTGCATGTGGAACCATTCTTGCATATCAGAGATAAAGCCCACATAGTGGAATCATAGTATGTGATTATTTTATTGTGCTGCTGCATTAGATTTGCTAGTTTGGGGGTTCAGGATTTTTGTATCAGTATTTGTCAGCTTTTTCACTGCTGCGACTTGAGGACCCAACCAGAACAATTGTAGAAGAGGAAAAGGTTTATTTGAGGGCTCACAGTTTCAGAGGTCTTAGCCCACAGAAGGCTGGCTCCATTCCTCAGGGCTTCAAATGAGGCAGAACATCAAGGCAGAAGAGTGTAGCTGAGGGAAGCAGCTCACATGTGATAGAAAGCAGAGAAATACTCTACTCGACAGATAAAAATATATACCCAGAGCCCCGCCCCAATTCCCACCTCCTCCAACCACACCCCACCACTTCAGTTACCATTCAGTTAATCTCTGTCAGGGGATTAAATCACTAAGGCTGTAAGCCAATCATCTCTCCTCCAAACCTTCTTGCAATGTCTCACACGTAAGCTATTGGGGGACACCTCACATTCAAACCATAACAGCTATCTATATTCACCAGAAATATTGGCCTATAATTTTGTTTTCTTATAGTGTTTCTGTGTGGATTTGTTATCAGTCAACTTATTACTTTTTTAAAAAGTTTGACCTGAAAGTATTATTTTTAGGTGGGGAGAAAAATAAATACACACACACACACACACACACACACACACACACTTAGTATTTCTTTGTTGTGAGAACATTTAAAATCCTTTTGTTGAGCTATTTTGAAATGTAGAGTACATTATTGCTTTCCTTTTAAGGGGGCTTATATAAAGTGAATTTCTTTAGATTACACATAATTTGGTCTTTAAAACAATTTATCCTGACATTCATACATATGCCATTCACATTTGAAGTATTCATTGATATCTATCTTGTTTGCAACTGCTTTTTATTCATTGTACTCCTTCTCCCTCCCCCACCCCTTCTTGTCCCTTCTCTGTTTCGATTGAGCATTATATTATTCCACTTCCTGTCCTCTTTTTGCATGCCCCTTATACTTCTTTTAAACCAATTTTAGTAGTTACCCTACAGTTTGCAATATACCTTCATGACTAATCTATGTGTACTTTCAAATGACACTGTAATGTAGCACGGGTAGTATAGGCACCTTATAACAGGATATTCCCAATTCCTCCCTCTCACCTGAATGAAAGGAAGGGAAGAGAAATAGGAATAGGAAAGACAGTGCCATGAATCCCACACAACTTTCCTGTGTACATATATGAATACACCACAATGAATGTCCATATTATGTACAACCA